TCTATTTAAATAACATTCAAACAACACAAATAAACATAAAAACTCATTAATTTTTAACAAAAAATAAAATAAGAAACATTTAAAATTCATAGAAAAAACAAAAAATATTCGAAAATATGTACTAGCGAAAGGCAGCAAATTTAGCATTGCTGCTGAAAACTGGAGGATATTCTACACAAATTTGTATCCAAAATTCCAAGCATTAATAGTTTCTTAGAATTAATTTGGAATAAAAGAAGTAAATACTGCAGTGTAAGTAGGATATTTGCATTTATTTCTTCTGTACTAACAAAGTTGTATGTAGGAAGAAATAAATAAAAAAAAACTAAATACGAAAACTTTATCTTTCTTATTTCACTTTTCAATACAATATTTGGTTATATATCAATTTTGTTTTTATTATATTCTGAAGGAAATTTTGCATAATTTGGCGGCCCTAGACAAACTTCTTATGGACATCCCACGGGCAGCGGCCCCCTGTTAAGAAACACTGCCTTAGAAAATCATTAATTGCCTCATTGATAGTATGCATCGGCCTTACAGTGGCATGTATAGCTGCCTGTGGAGGCCATATTTTTTTTACTGAATAAACAGGTGTCTGTTGCATATCTTTGTTTACTCTTTTAATCATTTACATAGCTCTGTCACTTCTACCAGTCATGCAATGTGCATGTGGCTACACACATTTCTTTGTTGTGTAAGTATAGTACACAGTACAGCAGAAAAAAATGTATTGCTAAACAGAGATTTATTACAGTANAAATAAAATAAGAAACATTTAAAATTCATAGAAAAAACAAAAAATATTCGAAAATATGTACTAGCGAAAGGCAGCAAATTTAGCATTGCTACTGAAAACGGGAAGATATTCTACACGAATTTGTATCCAAAATTCCAAGCATTAATAGTTTCTTAGAATTAATTTGGAGTAAAAGAAGTAAATACTGCAGTGTAAGTAGCATATTTGCATTTATTTCTTCTGTACTAACAAAGTTGTGTGTAGGAAGAAATAAATAAAAAAAAACTAAATACGAAAACTTTATCTTTCTTATTTCACTTTGTAATACAATATTCGGTTATATATCAATTTTGTTTCTATTATATTCTGAAGGAAATTTTGCATAATTTGGCAGCCCCAGACAAACTTCTTATGGACCCCCCCAGGGGGTGCAGCCCCCTGTTAAGAAACCCTGCCTTAGAAAATCATTAATTGCCTCATTGATAGTATGCGTCGACCTTACAGTGGCATGTATAGCTGCCCGTGGAGGCCATATTTTTTTACTGAATAAACAGGTGTTTGTTGCATATCTTTGTTTACTCTTTTAATCATTTACATAGCTCTGTCACTTCTACCAGTCATGCAATGTGCATGTGGCTACACACATTTCTTTGTTATGTAAGTATAGTACACAGTACAGCAGAAAAAAATGTATTGCTAAACAGAGATTTATTACAGTAAAGAATATCATTCAATTTTACATTAAGCTAATACAAATTGCATTGGAAATTATATTTCTTATCATTAAGGACAGATTTATCATTATATCAATAATCACTGTACCGAGATTTGACTGTATATAAAATTTAAAAATTTCTAATATTGAAAAAGTTTTTCTTTTTCATTTCAGATAAGATCTTGTATTTACATTGAGCAGTCAATTATAAATATATCAACTACCAAATTTCCATACAAAATAAACATTTCATAATCATAAATAGAAATTTGTGACAATGTTTTGGATTAAAAAAAGTGCAATTGCAGATATTCTTTCTAATAGTTCAGCATAAAAAACAGAAATTTAATCAGAATAAACCATTGTGAACAACATATAAAATAATTAAGGCAATTAAAAAATTTTCAGGATAATCTACTTGACTTTTTGTATTAAAGACTGAACTTCTGAGCAGAGTCCTAATGAAATTAGTTATGTTGGAAATTACACATATTTTTGTTTTTCTTTCTGCCCTATGGGCCTTAAGAGATCCTTTTTCAAGCCCATCACGGGTACAGATAAGCTCATAACGGAGTAGCCAAATAGTGNTATTTTGAAAATTAAAATTTATTAAGTTCTCCACTAAATTAAAAAGTATACAATTTCAACTTACAGTGAATCCTAAGTGATTAAAAAAAATATTTCTAAAGTTAGGTAATTAATATATTAGCAATTAAAACTCTGAAGATTTAATTGCTCAACTTTTCAAGAGCCAAAAGATTATTTAAACATTAAACGTTTTCAGAAATTTCAGCTCATTTTAAAAAATATGGCTGAAAATTACATCCAATTCTGTTTTTATACAATTGATATGTTTCCAAAACAACTGTGTAAAAAAATACTGTCTGTATGAAAAAATGGAAGATTGATTCCAACCTTAAAAACCAGTAAAAATAATCTGATAAATCATTAATACATTACAATACTTTTAAACAAAATATTTCAATTTTAGTTAATAAACCAGAAAAGAGTTTGGTTTGGCTTGGTTTAATGGGATACAACACAACTACAAGTAGGTGATTTGCCAATAAAGATTCTTCCTAGAAGGACTTTTTATGGGAAACTGACCCCTGTATGTTAGACACGCAGAGAAGACCCAGAAAACTGTTGATGACACGTAAACAAAGTACAAAAAATAGAAGAAAATAATAATGATAATTTTTGTTCTCTTTTATATGTAATCAATATTTAATGTCAAATGTTTTAATTAGTAAATTTCTGCTTCCAGTTTTGGGTATGGGACAGTCTTAGGAAAAATGTCTGACTGAGAGCATTTTTTTTTTTTAGTATTCTTGGCTGCATGGAAAACAATCAACAATGTTTCAATGTCAAAAGCTCCATATGACTAGTTCCATGGACAGGCATGTACCTGTAATCAACTACCAGTGTCTGGTGATTTTATCCACTTGGAAATCAGAAGAGGAGCAATTGTAACTTACTTATCAGCAAAATTTAACACTAAATGTCATACAAAAACTATTCTAAGTTGAAAAAAAAAAATTAGAAGAAATACAATTGTACAAACAAATCATCAAATTTTGAATATATTTTTTCTGAATGTTTCAATCACAGAATAAAGTGGTATTGACAATGAAAGACCAATTGCCACTATACATGTTCAAATGTTATAAAAAAAAAAAAAAGTCAAATCTTAAATTTTAAGATGTAATGTAACAGCCTTAAATGCAGATTATAAAAGATATTTTNAACTTTATTCACATCTTGAAGTAAATAAAATAAAAACCAATATAAATTTATTTTTCTAAGGGCATTTAGTTAAACATTTAAATCTCATTTTGATGTCAAATGAAAATATGTGAATACAAACTATTCTACTGTAAGTAGATAATATTTTTCTTTCAAAATTAATTGAATTATTGGAAAAAGAGAAAGCACTCTAAGGAAATTTATTTTGTCAAAGAAGTACCATAATGAGAAAAGCCTACTAAGATGGGTTTACAATGATACATAATTGCAATAATGATAATTGTAAAATACTTTGCCCCATTGTTCTATGCAAATTTGAAAAATTGTATTATTTTAAATCAGTAAAGCATTATTCATGCCAATACAAAACATGAAAAGCTGTTCCAGAAATGAATGTTGACATCTGGAAAAGAAACAATGTGCCAAAACAGAAATATCTTACTCCTGCTAAATCATGTTGCATCTCAGTGGCAAGAAACTATCACTGAAATGTGTAACTGCTTTATTTGCCCACCTAATATAACCAGACATATAGACAGCCTTCAAATCAAGGAATTATTACTTACCCTAAGTATGCATACAAGAAATGGTCATTGCAATTCCTTTTCGGAAAAATCTGAAAAATATTCTGGCTTCCAAGATTAGAAAGCAGAATGTAATGGAACAGGAGGAATAATGATAGCTTGAAAAAATGTTGTAGTATTGGTAATAAAGAACATTTTTACTGAGATTGTGGATGCTGTGAATGAAGATGAGTAGACAACTTCACTGGATGAGTAGAACTGAAATAATATCTCAACATGGATGAACATATCAAAATATATGAACATATTAGAAAACAGTCATTTTGAATTAACACATCTCAATAAATTTCATGAACCGTTTCGGAAAGTTCTGAAAGCATACAAAAAACACAAAAGGAGAGGCAGCGTGTTCTATTTCACCTCCAAGAAATGATGCATTCATGATACTCTTAATTATGGACAGATTAATTATTTTAAATAATGCTTATGAAAATGTTGTAAAAGCCTTTTTGAATGTAATACAGAATTTCATTTTGTAAAGCTACAAAAATAGTTTGAAAAAAAAGCAGA